CGAATCTGAATTATTTTATCATCCAGATACTGTACAAAATCCTCAGCTTGGCCCTGCAAGGGGTCCTCCCGCGCTCCCAGATGGAGGAGGGAGCGGGTCACCCTAAACAGGGCGGCTGGGCGGTTATCTGATGACGCGATAAGAGCGGCAAAATAGCTAGATTTCGCCGCTTTTATCGCCACTAGGTAGGTCTTAATATGAGACCTTACCAGTGTCAAGTCAGACTCGGAACGACTGGCCCTCCAACCGCTCTCTAGGCATCTTTTCTGGCGCTTCATCACCCTCAGCTCCTCGGAAAACCAAGGAGCTAAGTGAGTTCGGTGCCGGGTCAGAGGCCGCAAAGGCACGACCCGGTCCAAAGCCCCGGCAGCCGCCCTATCCTAGGCGGCCACCAGGTCATCAGCCGAGTCATGAGCTAGAGTCTCAGGAAAGCTCCATCTGGAACCTATCAGGGTCCATCAGGCGCCTGGGGCGGAACCACCTGGTCGGTTCCGCCTCCCTGCGACGGGGTACGGCGGTCAGAAAGTCAAGTCGAAGGAGCGAGTGGTCAGATCATGACAAGGGTTCAATATCTACATCCCCTATATCAAGGCCACTCAACCACTGACCAGAGATAAAAACTAAGTCCAGAGTGTGTCCCCCCATATGAGTAGGGCCGTGAATTACTTGGGTCAGGTCCATGGCCGTCATGGAAGCCATGAACTCCCGAGCTACGTCAGATGTCTCACCGATGGATGGCAGGTTGAAATCCCCCATGACCACAAGTCTGGGGGTATCAGCCGCCACCTCGGCTATAACATTGAGGAGTTCGGGCAGGGTCGTTGCTACGTGGCAGGGAGCCAGGTACGTGATCAACAGACCCATCTGCGCCCCACGACCCCACTTCACAAAAAGGGACTCACATCCGGCTATCTGAGGTACAGTGGTCTCCCTCGGATCAAGACCTTCTTTTAAAATGACCGCCACCCCCCTGCCCCTGCCCTGAGCTCTCGGCTGATGAAATGCACGGAAGCCTGATGGGCACATCTCCACGAGGGGAACTCCCCCCCTCATGGCCCAACCAGGTCTCCGTGATACCTGCCAGGTCCGCTCCCCCCTCCTGAATAAGATCACAAATGAGGGGGGCTTTATTTACTACGGACCTGGCATTACATAACATCAGCCAGAGACTCGGGCGCTGAGACTCTAAGCAGCCTGGGGAACGGGAAGAGCTAAGGGGACCGGGGCACGCAATCGCTCGGAGATAGCGAGCACGTGCCCCCACCACATGATATGGCCCCCTGCTCCTGCCATACCTGCCCCTCCCACTCAGCGTGTTAATAGAGAAGCCCTCACTAGAGGGCATTCTAACAGTCCCCTTTTCCCCAGAGTCCGTACCCCCTATGGCACCATTAATAGCAGCCAGACTGGTCTCCAACCCCCGTGGGTTTTCCCCCAAACGCACATAACCTCCCCCACCCTCAGAACCCCTTAAAAGTCTAATTAAAAAAGTCTTTAAAAAACCTCTCAATCCCCTTTTTGCGACATGCCACCTCTCGGGGTCCCAAGATCCGTCATTAAAGTGGGCCCTCGATAACATAGAGGGCCAGGCCTGCAAGAGGGGGGAATCTCGCAGCACAAGAAGCTTATACTCCCTCCCCCTCATGAAGGACATGCTAGCCCACGTAGCTAAAGGAAAAGTTTTCACCAAACTAGACCTTCGAGAAGCTTATTACCAAGTACGCATCAAGGCAGGAGATGAATGGAAAACAGCATTCAACTGCCCCCTGGGTAGTTTCCAATTCAAGGCAATCCCTTTGGATTGCAAGGAGCCCCGGCAGTGTTCATGCAGTTGATAAATGAAGTCCTACATGAGCACCTATACAAAGGGGTCCTCGTCTACCTGGACAATATTCTCATCTACACGGAGACCATAGACGAACACATACCCCTCGTCCGCCAAGTACTGAAAAAACTGCTGAGGGCAAGCCTGTATGTCAAACTGTCAAAATGCGATTTCCATCAATCACGGCTAGACTACCTAGGCTACCGAGTATCAAACGAGGGGATAGAAATGGACCCAGCCAAGGTCCAATCAGTTCTACAATGGCAGCCCCCTCGCACCCGCAGACAACTGCAAAGCTTCCTAGGCTTCGCGAACTTTTACAGACAATTCATCCCCTCGTTCACGAAAATTGCCAAACCTTTGACGGACCTCCTAAAGACAGGAAGCCCAGCGACGAAACCCCGCCCGGGACAACCCCTGCAGTGGGACCTGATCTGCCAACAGGCATTCGAGACGCTAAAGGGAATGTTTGCGAAAGAACCTGTCTTAAAACACCCTGATCCTGAACAACCTTTCGTCATCCAAGCAGACGCAAGTGATGTGGCAGTAGGAGCCGTATTACTCCAAAAGAACAGTCAAGGTGATCTACAACCCTGCGCCTACACCTCCCGCAAACTCACCGACACAGAGAGGCGATGGGCGGCGTGGGAGAAGGAAGCGTTCGCAGTAAGATGGTTGTTGTTGACCTGGCAGCACCTACTAGAGGGAGGCCGGAAACCGTTTGAAGTCTGGACTGATCATAAAAACCTGGAGGCCCTAAAAACCCCACGGAAACTGTCGCCCAGGCAAGTCCGGTGGGCTCAATACTTCAATTGTTTCAATTTCGAGCTTAAGCACATCCCAGGAGGGAGAAATTTCCTGGCTGACGCCCTCTCCCAAATGCCCCAATACAACAGTGAGCGGGAGCAAGTAGTGAATGCCATCATCCCCTCCACCCAAGCAGCGGCTCAAGTGATCACCAGACGGCAACAACATGACCAGCAGGGCCAACTTGCAAGTGACTTAACTGCAAAATTAAAAAATGAAACACTGACAGACCCCTGGTTCCGAGACAATCAACATCTCTTGACAAAAAGAGACGACCTAGCATGGAAAGGGACAAAGCTCTATGTCCCACAGACTTTACGCACCCTGATCCTCAAGAGGAGTCACGACGTTAAACCAGCAGGACACTTCGGGTTCCTAAAGACTCTGCACCTAGTACGAAGGCAGTTCTGGTGGCCCCACATGAGAAAGGACGTGGACAGTTATGTAAAAAGCTGCACCATTTGTGCCACGATGAAAACAAGGCCAGATTGCCCACCTGGACTGTTGCAACCAGTACCTGAGCCGACAAGACCATGGGAGGAGATTGCGATGGACTTCATAGTAGACCTACCGAGGAGCAGTGGGAATACAGTGATCTGGACTGTAATAGACTTATTCTCCAAACAGGCACACTTCATTCCTTGTAGCGGACTGCCCTCAGCCCGCCCGTTATCCAAACTGTTCCTGAAACACATCTACCGCCTGCATGGAGTCCCCAGGAGAATCATCTCTGACCGAGGGGTCCAGTTCACAGCAAAGTTCTGGAGGGAGTTCCTACAATCCATAGGGTCATCCCAAGGGCTCAGCTCAGCATTTCACCCGAGCACCAATGGGGGGGGCAGAAAGACTGAACGCTATGATATGTCGCTTGCCCAATTTCCCAGCCAGTTTTCATATTTAAGGTAGAATTAGAATTCATGGTCTCCTGGTTTCTAACTTGTTATGTTATTGTAACTACTAACGGGCTGCTTTCAATGTTTAAGTGCAACACTTCCCATGAGAAAGATTCTTTATAATTAATTTCAAATTTATCCAGATCCTTTAGATTTTGATCATTTAAATCTTTAATCCATTTGCAACTTTCTAAAGTTTTAATCACTTGTTTGTTGTTTATTTAAATATATACAGTATTGTATATATACTTCTAAATTCTTAAATTTGTATTTAAAACTTTTTTTTGCTAATTAGTGGACCAGAGGAATACTGTCAATATAATTTACCTGGACTTCAGTAAGGCATTTGATAAAGTAGATCATAACTTACTACTAGATAAAGTAGAAAAATGTGGGTTAGACTGAATCACCACCAGATGGATTCGTAACCGTCTGACCAACTCAATGTGTAGTCATCAATAGAACTGCACCTACATGGAGGGAAGTATGCAGTGGAGTACCCCAAGGCCCTGTTTTAGGCCCAGTACTCTTCAACATCTTCATCAATGACTTGGATGAGGGGACAGATGGGGAACTCATCAAATTTGCAGATGACACCAAGCTGGCAGGAATAGCCAACATCCCAGAAGATAGGCTTAAGATACAGAAGGATTTTGACAGACTTGAACATTGGGTGCTATCTAAAAAAAATGAAATTCAATGGTGAAAAAAGTAAGCTTCCTTATTTAAGAAAGAAAAACAAAATGCACAGGTACAGTATATGTGGTACACAGTAGTAGTAACTGTGAGAGGGATCTTGGAGTCCTAGTGGACTCATTTAAATATGAGTCAGCAGTGTGCAGCAGCTGCCTAAAAAGCCAACACAAACTCAGTTCTAGGCTGCATAAACAGGGATAGAATGAAGATTACGTGAAGTGTTAATACCACTTAATAATGCCTTGGTAAGGCCACACTTGGAATACTGCATTCAGTTTTGGTTGCCACGATGTAAAAACGATGTTGAGACTCTAGAAAAAGTGCAGAGAAGAGCAACAAAGATGATTAGGGGAATGGAGGCTAAATAATGAACGGTTGCAGGAACTGAAAAGGACGACTATGGGAGACATGATAGCTACACTTTTGTAACTATAAAAAGAGATCAAACAACCACCCTGGGACAAGACACACAACTGTTCCAATAACAAAATTTGCTATTTATTAAAATGAAAGGAAGTATTTAAAACATCTAAACTAGTGCTGTTGAAATGAGCATACATTTGGACCTCTTAATCCTAGAGAAGATCTGTAACTAAAAATATATCTATATCTTATCAGTTTGTAAATAAACCGATTAACCCAATGTTTTATTATTATTTCTACATTATTCCATATTGTTCTATTTTTAAAAAGCTTTTTCTGCTGAAATTTTTTTATTTTTATATAAATTATATAAATATCTTTTCAATTATCCAACTTTATAATTTAAATATTTATAGGTCTTCTTGGCACTTTTGACATGGATGAAGGAATGACATATGAACAAATGCAGGTTAGACTTTGTTTCTGGTATTGTAAGCAATTTTTAGATCTTTTGAAAAATTTATAATGAAACAGTATATTTCATTTTTTAGACTGTAATTGAAGAGGTTCTGGAGGAATGTGGATATTACAATTTTACCTCAAGCAGGTGAGTTTCATTTCAAAAGGAAATGTTAAAGTGAGATGAAGTTATTGAATGCAAGTATTAATTCTTTTTCTAATGACAGGTCATATTAAGCTTAATAAAATAAAGGTTTCTGTTATGTATTGATACTTTTGAGCGGGAGTTTCAAACCTGCCTACGTTTCTGATTGGCTGACAGTCCCTCCAGGATTATATATAAGGAGGGCTGCAGCCTCTGAGTTTTTGCTGAAGTCTCACTGTAAATTAAAGAGCTGTTGTCACTTGCTTGGTGTGCCTCTCGTTATTCCCGAACCACTTCATTGGCGACGAGGGTGGGATTGAGGTCACAACAAGCGAACCAGTGAGACCACGAGCTTCAGCTAGGCGACGAGGCGAACTACAGGAGGCATACCGAACATGTCTGCCTACGTTCCGCCCAAGCCTTTTGATCCGACCCGCGAAAAATGGGTCTCGTACCTGACGAGGTTCGAATGCTCGCTCGAAGCCAGCGACATGCAAGGGCTCTCCGCTAATCGGAAGAGGGCCCTCTTCCTAAGCCACTGCGGACCGGACGTGTTCGAGATGGCAGAGTCACTATGCGAGCCAACGCCGGTCCAGACCGTTTCCTGGGACACCCTGATGGCCACGCTCCGGGCTCACTACGCTCCCGTGCCCTCCAAGTTCGTGCAACGATACCAACTCAGACAGCGCGTACAGCGAGAAGGAGAACCGGTCAGCGCATACATGGCCAGCCTGAGAAAAGCCGCAACCCATTGCGACTATACAGACTTGGACGACGCGTTACTTGAGCAACTCATCTGTGGTGTCCGGGACATTAGGCTGCAACGGCGCCTGCTCGCCAAGCCTGACTTAACGCTTGCTGGAGCCCTAGACGAGGCCAGGGCTCATGAAGCCTCCACAAAAGCCGCAGAAACGCTGCAGCGTCCGCTGACCAGCAAAGACAACCCCAAGTCTGCCCCGGTGCACAGAGAAGACGCCGGATCCAGCTCGGAGTCCGAGTTGGATGAAGACGTTTTCCGAACGGAGCACCAGAGAAAGGACACTGGCAGCCCCCGGCGAAGCTGTCCCAGCTGTGGAGGGCACCATGACAGACTGTCCTGCAAATATAGGGAGGCTATTTGCAGGCGTTGCGAGAAAAAAGGGCACTTGGCGCGAGTCTGTAGAGCCATTCTGCCCAGAAAACACCAACCATGTGAGCGCCGCAGCCAACCAGAATCAACGCGCCAGAAACAACCAACGAGAGAAGGCGGCGCGAAAAAACGGCGCGAATTTGAACCTCGAGATGGCCGCAGCATTCACATAGACCAGGCCAGCGCGGAAATCGAGGACAGAGTCAGCACGGTGGTCGAAATCAACGGCAAGCCATGCTCAATGGAGATCAATACCGGATCGGCTCTCTCCATAATGTCTTGGGCGACCCTAAAGACCCTCCTGCCGTCGTTCCGGAAGGACCAACTCTCCAAACAGAGACTGCGCATCCTAGACTACCAGGGGAACCGAGTCCCCCTCGAAGGCGTGGGCACGTTCCGAGTCACCTACGGAGACTACGAAAGAGACCTGCCACTGACCATCGTCACAAAGCAGCTTCCCAGCCTTCTCGGCATGGGGTGGTTCCGAGCCCTCGGCATGGGTTTCACCGGCGTCCACCAGATGCTCAAGTCATCGTTAAAAGACAGTCTCCTGACTGAATTCCAGGACGTTTTCGGGGACACGTTGGGCAAGTATGTGGGGACCCCTATCTCCCTTAATTTAGACCCCAACGTAGCCCAAATAAGACTCAAGGCCAGATGGGTGCCTTTCGCATTGAAACCAAAGATCGATGCGGAACTGGACAAACTGATTAAACAAGGGGTGTTGGTTCCCGTTGACCATGCAAAGTGGGAAACCCCTATAGTGACCCCAGTAAAGTCTGACGGCTCAATTAGAATCTGCGCCGACTACAAGTGCACGATCAACAAGGCTTTGCAGCCGAGCGCCTATCCGGTGCCGATCGTGCATCATCTACTACACTCCCTGGGGCCCGGAAAATTTTTTGCCAAATTAGACCTGGCTCAGGCCTATCAACAATTACCAGTTGATGATGCCACGGCAGAGGCACAAACGATTGTTACTCATAGGGGTGCATTCAAATGCACCAGGCTCCAGTTTGGGGTGAGCGTCGCACCCGGCCTGTTTCAAAGCACCATGGAGCGCCTTCTGCAAGGGCTTCCCGGAGTGGTGCCCTATTTTGATGACGTTCTAGTAAGCGCTCAGGACGAACGTCAGTTAGGGGACAGAGTAAGGAACATCCTTTCTAGATTTAGGGAAGCGGGACTAAGGTTAAAGAAAAATAAATGTATGATCGCTGTCCCCTCCGTTGAATTTTTGGGGTACAGGGTGGACGGCACAGGCATCCACCCTACCGAAAGCAAGGTGAGAGCAATTAAGAGCGCACCTGCCCCCAAGACCAAAGCTGAGCTCCAAGCCTTCCTTGGACTGCTCAATTTTTACTCAATGTTCCTGAAAGACAAAGCTACCGTCGCAGATCCCCTACACAAACTATTGGGAAAGAATGTACCATGGGTCTGGGGGAAACCACAAGCAGCCGCTTTTGAGGCAGTTAAGAGACTTCTATCGGAAGACAGTTCCCTAATCCAATACAACGCAGCGCTACCGCTTGTATTGGTTTGTGATGCCTCCCCCGTAGGAGTTGGTGCCGTCCTGGGCCATAGACTTCCGAACGGCCTAGAGGCGCCCATTGCGTTTTACTCTCGCACCCTGTCAAGCGCAGAGCGAAACTATAGCCAATTGGACAGAGAGGCTCTGGCTGCAATTGCGGGGGTTAAAAAGTTCCACGAATATCTCTTTGGCCGGCAATTCGAACTTGTGACTAATCACCGGCCCTTGCTAGGACTTTTGGCAGGCGACAGGCCCACCCCTGCTGCTCTGTCCCCACGCTTGACTAGATGGGCTATTTTTCTTTCGGCCTATTCATACCAGCTTGTACATCGACTGGACGGACCCTGGGTCACGCGGATGCCCTCAGCCGCTGTCCCCTACCTGACTTACTGACCAATCCAACACCTGAGGCCTCCGTCCTTCTACTGGACACATTAACTTTGGGACCTATTTCCTCTGCCGAAGTGGCTAAAGCCTCAGCCAGGGACCCGATCATTCGTACTGTGATGGGGTGGGTGCTAAAAGGGTGGCCGGTCAAGGTGGACGGGGGGGACTATCAAGGTTTTGTAAACAAACGGAACGAACTGTTTACGCAAGGTGGTTGTTTGTTGTGGGGTGATCGGGTGGTAGTGCCAACAAAACTACGAACGAGGGTCTTAGAATTGTTGCACGAAGGGCATCCGGGCATTGTCAGAATGAAAAGTTTAGCCCGCAGTTACGTATGGTGGCCCAACATGGACCAAGTTATCTCTGAGTGGGTGGGGAAGTGCAGACCCTGCCAGGAGTCTCGCCCCGATCCCCCGGTAGCGCCCATCCGAGAGTGGGAGAAACCAAAAGGGCCATGGGGGAGGATCCATATTGATTTTGCCAGCCCCTTCCATGGGCAAACGTTTTTAATTGTAGTAGATGCCTTTTCGAAATGGCTTGAAATCATTCTAATGCCCTCTACCACAGCCGAGGCTGTTATTAAAGCCCTTCGCAAGCTGTTTGCCACACATGGCCTACCGGATACCCTAGTATCTGACAACGGCCCTCAGTTCACAGCAACCCTGTTCGAGGGATACTTGGCCGGACTGGGCATCCGCCATGCCCTATCGGCCCCGTTCCACCCGGCTTCTAACGGATTGGCCGAACGTTTTGTAAGAACGGCCAAAGAGGCCCTATCCAGACTAGATAACGGGGACTGGCAGGCCAGGATAGATCAATTCTTAGCTGTCCAGCATGCCACACCATGCACAGCCACAGGGAGAAGCCCAGCAGAGCTCCTCATGGGCAGGAAGCTCCGGTGCATGTTAGATAGGCTTCACCCCAACTATTCGCACGAAAATTTCAAGGGAGAGACCTCCGGACTAAGACAGTTTCAGGTTGGGTCCCCGGTGTTCGCTCGCAACTATGCCAGCGGACCTCTATGGGTTGCAGGAACCATAGTGGGCATAACGGGCCCGAAATCTTATACGGTAGACGTTGGGGTAGACAGACTCTGGAAGCGCCACATAGACCAGCTGAGAAAAAGGGTAGTCGGCGAAGCAAACATAAAGTTAGACATATCCGAGCCTAACTATAACAACTTTCCCAAAACAGCTAACTCAAGCCCGGGTTCGCGAGAATACTTAGCTGACAAGCCCTGGTTCCAGCACCGCCCCAGCGAGTCGCCACTCCCGGGGATAACCACGCCCCGGACAAAATCCAGGAGGTTCCATTGGCGGAGTCAGGAGAGACAGAAAGTCCCTCCGACCAGCTCGACGCCCCACCAAACACTGAACTGCGCAGGTCAACTAGGACGAGAACTCGCCCTGGGCACCTGCGAGATTTTGTGTGTAATTATGTAAATTTTTGAATGACAGTGCCTTCTGGGAAGGGAGGGGTGTTATGTATTGATACTTTTGAGCGGGAGTTTCAAACCTGCCTACGTTTCTGATTGGCTGACAGTCCCTCCAGGATTGTATATAAGGAGGGCTGCAGCCTCTGAGTTTTTGCTGAAGTCTCACTGTAAATTAAAGAGCTGTTGTCACTTGCTTGGTTGTGCCTCTCGTTATTCCCGAACCACTTCAGTTTCCTTGTCAATCATGTCTGACTGGCATAGTGCTTAGTTTCCTTTCTTGGCTGAGGGAGCCAGCATAGTCCAAAGACAATCTTCATGTTCATGTGGTCAGCATGGCTATATGTTTAAGGCCCATAGTTTGCTGTTACCTTCCCACCAAAGTGGTACCTACTTGCATTTGTATGCTTTCAAACTGTTAGGTGGGCAAGAACTGGGGCAAGTAACGGGAGTAACCCCATTGTACAGAACTCAAGTCTCGAATTCAGGCTGTCCGCTCTCCAGCTGACAAGCTCAGTATCTTTAACCATTGAGCATTGTGCCCCCTTATTAAGCTTAATAGAATGCATCATTCAATTGAATGCAGGTAAGTGGTAGATACAACTGATATGTAAGATTTGGATTATAGTTCCACAGGAAAATAGCACAATAATTCACTATAGTTTCTTCATTTCTTCTTTCTCTGTAAAGCCCATCAGTAAAAAGACTTATCAGTAAAAAATCTTTTTTAAACAAAAACAAAACTTTCTGAAAAATACATTACTAGTTGGAATATTTGAAAGTGTTTGCCCAAATAAAATTAGCATAAGAAAGCAAAAGGATATAAAATGAAACTATTTGGAAAAATCTGGCATGAACCTGTCATTCTGATTTCACCAAGTGTTACTCTTCTCCACCCATCCCTGATAACTACTATAACTGCTGACTTCACATTAGGATTAGCGTATGCTAGAAGTTAATCAGAAAATCTTATTAATCAATTAAATCTTATTAATCATATTAAAATGAGTCACAGTGAATGATCAAAACTCTAGGTACAGAATCAATGCCACTGATCCAGTGAACTTGAAATTGTGAATTCTGCCTGGCAGAAGTTCTCAAAGATCAGAGTTGAGATGTCAACCAAAATTAACTTTTTAACTGCAGGTGCTATGCATGAGACAATCTGCTTGGAATTGATATACTTTCGAATTAGCTATCTTTTCTCCCCAATGTAACTAAAATATAAAGAACAGAATGTCAAGTAATCAAATTGTCATTTTACATAGTAAAACTGAATATCTGTCTTGCTTTATTTTACATATATCAGATAGGTCATGACTCACACTTTTGGGGTAGAAAAAGCATCTTTGGATGTCTAATTCTTAAGATCTTGTTTAGAAATGTTGCTGCATATTGAACTCTGTAACCAAAACAGAGATGTAGAATGCCTTGCAAAACCACTCTGTCTACACTTTCTACTAATTTTCAGCAAGCTGGACAGTGCTATTATATCTCAGATGACAAGATCATAACCTGACCAACCTGCCTATGTTAACGCACTCTTGTATATTCCAGTTTGGTAGCAGAGATTTAATCTAATTCAAGATGGAAATGCTATTAATTTTTTTTATTCCATTAAACAAATAATTAATGCTCTTAAATCTTTTTTAGGTATCAGTACTATCCATGGGGCGCAAGAAATCATCCAGCCAGAAGATGAGCACCTGGAATTTTGACTACATTGGCGGATTTTCTACTAAAGTCTAAATGTCTCGACTTTAGCTGTTATTTTCCCACTGCTAAAGGGAAACACTGCGTAAAACACAGGACAAAAGGAAACACCCAGAAATCATTCAGATCTTCCATGTAGTTTACAAAGAATCATCAAGCAGTAGAACTCTAGTACATATCTCTGGCAGTAGGTATATGCAGTATAGTTTTGATGTCAAGATATGGTTTATGCAAAATGTAAACTTTCTTCCAAGTACTTTGACTAAGATGACAATGCACAGTTCTTCAGCCCATTCTTGATTTTTGGAATGACCTGTTGAATACTCAGGTTTATTAGAAATCTCAGTTTTTACAGATTTCTTAATATCAGAGAATCTATTTTTTATAATGGAATATATTTTTGGGCAGAGAGCAATTCAGAATGTTTAAGGAAAGGGGACAAAGTCTAACTATATTAGAATCAAAAATTGCTTGGGAATCAGAAATGAGCATTCCAAATACTGTTTTAATTACTCAAAATAGTTGAGATTTATGCTGCAAATATGATATAGACAGTATTTACAACTTTCACAATTTCTAACATTTGTTAAATCCAAAGATTAGAGCATGGAACATGCTTAGATTCTATAAATAAGTAAATATCAATATCTAGTCTAGATATAGATGTAAAGCCACAGATAAACATAAGAGTTATATTTATATTAAATACTCTAATTAATTATTATTGCTAATTAGATATGTAACAAACACTGCACTTTTGAAAAACTGAAAGTCTTTCTGAAAAATGTTTGTAAAATAGTAATGCACACATTATTGTCATCTGGACATTTCTTTACCTTTAACATATTTCAGCTTTACTAAATCTTCAATTTAGTAAATGTATGGTTATCCACAGTGATGTAAATGTTATAGATTGGATGTAATATTTCCAAATTCCATTGACTTTTTAAAATGATAATATGTTTGAAAATTTTAATATAGGCTTTAATCCTTGGACATGTAAGGTGAAGGGTAACATCAAATATTGTGTTAGGGAATTGAAAGAGAAAAAGAAATCAATTCTACCAACTATATCTGTTGGTAGTTACACTGTTGTTTACATAAAATGTAATGTATATGTACGTTAACAATATTTTTGAAGTTACACACTTACAGTAATTTAAATTACTAGGAAGCATATTACTTAATATAGCATACTATATTTAGTTGAGGGAGACATAGAGGGAGACCAAGGAAGAAAGTATGTTCAGATTTGCCTATTCTAACATATCTTAATCTTCTATAAATGATAAAATGGATTTGAGATAAATGAAAAAGAACTTTTGAAATCAAAGTAAGAAAACTGCAACAAAATATCACAAAGCAAAAATACCATCTAGCGTTGCCATTTGTCATTTTCAAAAGGCAGTAATATTTCAGTAATATTTCACACATATTTCTTCTACATTTAGGTGCTAAAGTTCGTAATGAAGATGCACATACTGAAATTTTCAGTAAGACTGCATGACTCAGAGATTGGCTAGGTTCCTATATGTATGTACAGTGTGTTTTAGGGGCTATGGATCTTCTTTGCATTTTGCTTGTTTACCACAATAAAATCAATAGAACCAAGCAGTTGCATGGTTCATGGTGGCAAATATTTTTACACAACAATTTTATTCAAGAAATTTCATATGAAAACTGTATTAATTCTGATGGATATTGATAGACAACAAAATTTCATAGAAAAAATAGTAAATAATACAGTGACAATTGCAAAGGGGGGGGGTCAAGATGTTATCCACAGAATCATGATGAAAACCCCACCCCTTTCTTCATGTATCAGATATTGGCACACATACAAAAGAGGAAGATTTCAATCACAAAGCCACAACCACAGTCTGTTTTGCTGCTGCCTACAACCACTGAATTGAGCAGTCAAAAATTAAAAACAGGCCAAATTCTGCTCAGACTGCATTGCCTCAAAAGTGATTCTTAATAATTAAGGAATTGATAGCTCTGAGTCATGTCAAATACGTTTTGCTAAAATTGATAGAAACTGTTACCCAAGAATCTGTTTGAATCCAAAGTGTCTATCCCTCACAGTTTTTTATACCTAGATTCTGTCCTGTACCAAATTAAGCCAGTGCAGATTTACATGTGGTTCTTCAAACTACAGACAACAGAAGGGGCAGCTTTTCAGATATAAAAGGCATACTATAAATTTCAAGGAAACTCTGCTTCCTGTCACTGCTGATATCACAGTGTAGTTAACGGTCTTTGTAGTTGTATAAATTTCCCTCCAATTTTTTAATGCTCTTAAGATAGACCAAATGCTTGTAAAATGATACTGAATCTGATAGTACCATTTGTAATTACCTTTGAAATGGGAACCATATGAGAGTATGATTACACATTTTGAAATTTCAAATAATAAAGCATGTTGATTACTTTTTAAAAACTGTTTATAATTATACAGATAACCTTAAAAACTCAGCATTTACCATTTTGGGAATAAAAGTAAAAGTATGGCATCTTTTTAGCTTTAGAATCTCAGGCTACCAAAATCATTGGATGGTCAAACATTTGCATTCACTTTTAATGTGACTTTTAATTTAAAATATCATCTAATGAAAACAGAACACTCTACCTAGAACAATCATTCCAGACACTGAAATTGAGACAAGTTCTTATTATTTTTGTCTATATTTTCTTATAACAATTATGTTTTCAAGAGTCAGCAGGAAAAAATAAAAAATGATTTTTAATGCAATTGAAGTGCTATACAGTTTTTAATTTAGTATTGTTACAGCAACAATAATGACTTTTTCTATAGTATATATTCTATATGCTACACAAGTTAATACTTGAAAATATTTATCGATAAAATAAATATAGTATTGAGAATTATTATTTTGATAGCTATTACTTATTACAATTATTCTTTTAATGTAAACTTTATTTTGCTTGAGTTTCAGATTGAAGAGATAAAACCAATGGTGTTTGATAGGTGAGGTGGGAATGAAAATAAGAATGGTGGCAAGAGCCACACAATTAAAGAGCTACACCTTTTTAGCTATAATGTAGGGTGACATAGATAAAAGGATTTTTATGTAGGATGATCTACATAAAAATACAGATATATGAAGCTGACTGATATATTATACTAATATATATAAATTTCCTAATTTTTATTTTTCTATTGTTTAAAAGAAATACAACGTTCAGCAAGAGTTAGATACCTTTTACAATAATGTTAACAACCATAAATAAAAAGACATCTACATCTTGCTATCTTCTAGTGTGAAGTGATAAGATCGCCTATATGCAACTATATGCCAAAAGTGGACACTCTATAGGAGAATTCATTCATCTTAATGCAGATGATTCATTAGCTGGCTTAATCATGGGGACAGCATCAAATGTGAAGAACAGCAACTTTTACATAGTTCATACTGTACCTATTGCATCCAGGATAGGGAAGGATATTCTTGCTGGTGGTCAAAGAGCAGCAATAAGTGTCTGACAGCCATAACAGAGAAGATAATACAGAGTGGTAGGCTGATCATACACTGGGATTTTCCTTTTGTTTTTTCCCCAGTTGTTTTTCTTTGAGGAAGAGGATATAAATGTATTTTAAAGTTTATGCAAAAATTGACCATATGTTTCCTAACTGAAAATAGGGGGAAATCATGTTGTTCATTTTTACTAGTTGGGCCCACAGTCATTGGTCTTGTCAGAAAAGGTTATGGAGATTTTTAAAAAGAGGGCTAGGGCTGCTTGTAACTTAATGCCATTTGCTTTTCACTGTTTTACAGTGATTTCTTCAGTTTGAGCATGGTAGCAAGATAGAAATATCCTTGTACGATGGATATCCTTGCACGATGGATATCCTTGCAATTTCCTTTTATTTAGGATTATGGAAGTAACTGAAAATTCACTCTATCATTTCTTATTTGTGATATATACTATTTCTTTTCATCCCATTTCTAATCAAATTAATCTCAGACTGACCTGTTCCATATTTTTTGCAATTTAATGTCTTCTCTAATAACATGTTTTATAACTATTTCTCATTGTATACTTTGTGTAATATACAAGTTATTTAAATCCAGCTTTGCCTTTCTAAATTTGTTGGTACACCTTTCCCAAATATATATGTAAAACATGTCAGTTTTTATAAATATTTCTGCCAAGGATATAGAATAGCAGTAGACCCTGCATTACAGTAATATGTATTATAACCATAATTTCATGCTGACATGAAATGTAGTACTTCAAAATAATAGAAAGTAGTAGCAAACAGTAGATATCTAGACAGATGCACATTAAAAGCATGCATTAAGAACTGAGTAGAGAAGCAGCAATATAACATTTTCCATAATAATCCTACTTTATAGTAAATGCTTCTAATCCAGTAATAGATATTATATAATATTATATAATATGTACTATGTAATATATATTATATAAAGTATTTTCCATTTGACTTAAAATAGAGATGATAAATATTTATACTAAATATATTTCTAAGTTATTTTTAAAATACTAATTACTTCATTCTTTGATCTTCAAGCATTAAGATTTAACGTACAGTTTCAGTTCTGATTCTAAAGAATCTTAACTTTTCAAGACAGACTTATTTTAAAGAGATGTCATGAAAAATATCAAGGATTGAATGGAGAATTAATTAATATAACCAACAAGTAATTGACAAACTCTTGCTTTACTGAGTGACAGATTGTATTTTATCCACTGACATACTGAGACAAGCTTTATTGACTTCTCTTTTTTGAAAAATATCTGAGCACAATGTCTACTACAGTTTGGTAAATTTGTGTACAGGTAGTCCTTGACTTATGACAATTGAGCCCAAAATTTCTGTTGCTAAACAAGGCATTTGTTTTGTGAATTGCACCCCATTTTACGACATGTTTTGCCACAGTTGTTAAGAGAATAACTGCAGTTATTAAGTGAATCATGTGGTTGTTAAGCGACTCTGGCTTCCCCCTTGGAAATCAATTGGGAAGTTTACAAATTGTGATCACATGACCCCAGGATAGTGCACCTGTCATAAATATCAGTAGAAAGTGCTTGAATTTTGATGTGTGACCATGCAGATGCTGTAACAGTTATAAGTATGAAAATTCACTTTTTTCAGGGCCATTTTAGCTTCACTAAATGAATGGTTGTAAGCAGAAGTCTACTTGTTCAAAATATGCATCATGTATCTCTATCTCAAAGAAAGTTTGTACATTTGTTAAAATTTCTTGTTCACAACTAGCTGAAGTCAATGAGAATTTTACTTTGAAAGCATTTTTAGTATACATCAAAAGACTATAAACTCAATACTGAGGTTTACAGAACTGAACAACTGATTTTTCTTCAAACTAAACAGAAAGAAGCTACTAAAAATCAACTATTTCTTTGTTTAGCAGATTTATATATCCAGCCATGTCATGAAACATGACTTTCTGTGGCATAATGACAATAAAAATAATCAAACGTAAATAAAATAGATTACATAAAACTCCAAGATTATGGAAGAGCAACAGTCACTTCACATTACACAGCCCGCTTGCAGGCTTACTTTGATAGGGGAAAAAAATGTTTTAAGGGCCTTACAAAAGGCAAGCAGGAATGCACCATCCTAGCGGCACACATCTGAAGCTTTCAGATACATTTCAGGACAGCCCAAATAGAGTACAATACATAGGAATTACTCTGGAAGTGTCTAGGACATAAGTAAGTGTGGTTCAGTAAGGAGGGCAACTGATGCAAACATAAAGATCCCGTTAGCCATGATCCTCACCTGCTAGTCAAGAAGGAGTCATAAGTCTAGAAGAACCCCCAAATTACATACTGGGTCTGTCTGGGGCAGTGCCACTTCATCCAATATAAATAATGGTAGTGTCCCAAATCCAGAAGAGCCCATGAATCCAGAGTTACTCAATTTTGTTAGGCTTCAGCTGAAGCCTATTGGCGATCTGAATGTAGGGATAAAATGATGGCCAGATGACTGTTTCGTTTTTTACTGACTTAGAGAGTGGTGTAGAAAACTTCTACAGCACCGTGTAGACTTTGTTAAGATAGTAGACCAAAGTATTTTGTTCCCTGGTGAAGTGGGAGTGATCTAGATGAGGCTGCCATTTTGCGGGTAGTTCAAAATGGCAGCCACTTTAGGAATCATGCCATATGGCCAGTTTTGGGATTCAGTTGGTTATGTCCAGTTCGGGTGAACTGGTAGTGGTGATTGCAGGAGGCTCCGCCCACCTTCCTGGATGTAATGCGTGAGCAAAGATCATGTGTGGAAGACCCTACACATGTGCAGAGGTGGCGCATGCGAGCGAAATGCTCACATTTGCAAATCAGTAGGGAAGGTAAGTGAATCCCACCTCTACATGTAAAATAGGAAGTCATTCCAGTGCTCTGGAGGTCTTAGAGCTCTTTAAAAGGTAAGTGTAGAGAAGGGTGTTTGAGTGGGATTGGGTCTAAGGACTGGGAGGACCTGGTGGGAATGGGAAAAGGGACCCAAGGCATGGGAAGGGGTGTACTGGGCAGCTTGGGGTAGGGGAGGGCTTGGGAGGCCAGAGTAGATGGACCTGGGCCTGTACTTGGCCTCCAATAGCCTCCCCCACTCAGGAGGCACCCCATGCTCCACTTAATTACCTGTATGTTCATTTAAGTTTAAGTTTTATTAAATTTCTATACTGCCCTTCTCCCGAGGGACTCAAGGCGGTGTACAGCCATATTAAAACACATGAATTTATAACATTTAAAACCAATTAAAATCAGATATATAAAATTTGGCCATCAATTTAAAACACACATACACCCATTTAAAATTCATATTATGACAGTCCGGCTTGTTGAAACAGAAGAGTCTTAAGGGCGCGGCGAAAAGTGCGCAGGTCAGGGCTAAGACGAAGCTCTAGGGCAGCTCATTCCAAAGGGCTGGTGCCCCCACAGAGAAGGCTCTCCCCCTGGGTGTTGCCAGCCGGCATTGTTTGGCCGACGGCACCCTGAGGAACCCCTCTCGGTGAGAGCGTATTGGCCGGTGGGAGGTTGTTGCTGGCAGAAGGCGGTCTCGTATATACCCCGGTCCTAAGCCATGGAGCGCTTTAAAGGTGGTAACCAACACTTTGAATCGCACTTGGAAAACCAACGGAAGCCAGTGCAGCTCACGCTGGAGGGGTGTTACATGGGTACGCCGAGTCGCACCCATAACCACCCACGCGGCCGCATTCTGGACCAGCTGGAGCCTCCGAGTGCTCTTCAAGGGGAGCCCCATGTAGAGAGCGTTGCAGTCGTCCATACGGGGCGTGACAAGGGCATGAGTGACTGTGCGCAAGGCATCCCGGTCCAGAAAGAGACACAACTGGTGTATCAGGCGAACCCGATAAAAAGGTCCCCTGGCCACGGCCGTCATATGATCTTCCGAAAACAGCCATGCATCCAGGAGAACACCCAAGTTGCGAGCCCTCTCTGTGGGGGCCAAGGTTTCACCCCCAATAGTCAGCAATGGTGCCAGCTGACTATACCGGGCCACCGGAAGCCACAGCCACTCAGCCTTGGAGGGGTTGAGATTGAGCCTGTTTCTCCCCATCCAGATCCGCACAGCCTCCAGGCACTGGGACATCACATCAAGTGCATCATTGGGGTGGAGATGTACAGTTGAGTATCATCAGTATACTGATGAAAATTCACCCCAAAACCACGGATGATCTCGCCCAGTGGCTTCACATAAATGTTGAACAGAAGGAGCGAGAGGAC